AGCAAATTCTCCCAAATTAAAGTCCAAAGGGGAGACAGAGACATTTCTTTGAATGTCGGATCATTGTGATATTTTTGCCCTCTTGCACTTTGCAATCAAAAATGACTTGAATTTCAGTTTATTAGCAAGCCACAAGTGCATATCTTTCAGCAACAACATGTCATCAGATGTGAATTGAGTCTAGACTGTCTTACCAAAAGGAAATGGTTGGTGTGCACGCAGGCTTTGAAGTAGTTTTAAGGCGTATCCACCAATAATTTCACTGCTGTACACAGTCCATATTTTCTGCATTAACTGTAATGCCTTATGCTGTATGTATGTTCACAACGGTCCACATGTCATCAGGTGTTTAGCTGTATTATGTTTGTTTGGATTTGATTTCCTGCAAAGGGCTAGTGTGGATGTACATGACTTCAGTGAGTGTAAATGAAGCTCTGCTGCAGTGCTGACGGAGTGACAATGATGAATGATGTTGATATCACATTCAGGAACTCTCAGTTTCTGCTAAACCAAACAATCTCATGCTTACTGTTAACTGCTTGTGGTAATCTCAGGGGTGTCTGCCTCATGATTTCATATTATCAGACGCAAAACAAATAAACACTCATTAATAAAGTTGATTACACAATGTACGCTATACAATCATTGTGTTTTTTGCAAGGGTCAGAATGAGGGAAAACATTCATTTCATGTGAACAAGCTCTGAATAATAAATTAAAGTATCAGTTAAACTTGCTCACCACTTCCTCCTCTTTGGTCAAATAAATCGGATCCTGGTTGACTCAGCTGATGACTGATATTAAAGGATAAAGCTTGTGTTTCCCATTAACATCATCCCAAATGTTCTTACCTTCTCTCCGACTTCTTTACACGATAACAAAACAATTGTAGGTTTCTATTATAAACCCCACAAAATGAACACCTTGTAATGTCTACAACATACATTACGTTTCTTTCTTCTGACCTTAATTTGCACCAAAAAAAAACAGCACCAAATACGAAAGAAGTCCATGGGAAAGAAGTAAGACATTTCAGGAGGAGATTATGTCATACCTAAATATATGTTTCCTTGTACATCACATGTTTCCCGGACATGAAAACTTGAAGAGTTAATAATAGCTTTAGCTAGAAGGCAAGGTCATAGCTTCAGTTTTATTGTACAAAACTTAATACATACCATGTGATATCATTACTAAACTGACATCTTCTGGAAAACTGTCGCGAAACACATCTGGCCTTGAAAAAAGTACTCGTCTTTAATTGTGATATGTAAAAAGATAAATTAATAAAAATGTTATTGCAAAGCATATTATTTCAAATAAATTGTAGTAGACTGTAGAATTATTCTTTGTCAGACAGGTTTATAACACACTTTTTCAAATATTAAGCTTACCAACAGAGAATTTTAAAGACATGAATAATACTCTCAACTTGTTCAAGTGTCTTAAAACCATATTTTATCCCTCTTTTTAAAACCCATAACTGATAAATATACTTTTTTTTAAACATCCCATTTTTTTGTAAGTTGTATATTGGACCGCGGTTGACTTTAAGTTTTGATGTTAGGCTAATACATACACTTCTTAAACTAAAATAACTTTCCTTTCTCAGCATATTAAGTGTGTCAAATTATGCACATACATTACTCTGCACATCCAAGGGAAGTTACATGGAGAAAACACATTTTAGGTTGAGGGAGACTTTAAATATTGTTGTTATATGCATATCTTAGGAAACCCAAATCAGCTTTTGAAGGTGTGACCCTCAGGGAGTCAGGGTGAGACACTGCGAGCTCGGCGTCTGCAGGTTAGCCACAGACAGATGTTCGTCCGCTCCAAAACAATACTGCGATCCCCTCTCTGGTGAAACCCTGCGGAGGGCGAGCCTTGTTATTGTTTATAAATAGAGCTGTATGCACCACGGAGGAAGGCTAACTTTGTTTCCCCTGACAGGGAGAGGAAGCGATGGCTAATTCTGCTCCAGACGTGTGTGACACCCGACCATTGTGCCTTAGAGAGAGAGGGGGTGAGGGAGAGAGAGACATTGTTTGAGAATGTGTGTGTGTAGGTCTTTAGTGTGACAACTCAGTATTGGCCTTCAGGAGGCTGGGTTTGAAGATTTCATTGTGCTCCTGCCTATCATTGAACATTCCCTGTGAGTTTTGTTAACAGGGTCCTTGCCTTGAAATTAATTCAACAAAGAACATTTCTGTGTGTGTGTGTGTGTGTGTGTGTGTGTGTGTGTGTGTGTGTGTGTGTGTGTGTGTGTGTGTGTGTGTGTGTGTGTGTGTGTGTGTGTGTGTGTGTGTAGAGGAAGTGGAGGACGTGTCAAAGTTGACCCACTGACACTCATATGTGTCTCTTTCTCCCATGGGAAGTGTTCAAGAGCCTCCCTCTGTCACACACACAGAAACACAAACAGAGAGAGAAACCAACTCGATGACACAAGACAAATGATTTCTCTCTCCCTTTGAGCTCTCGATGACTACTTTAGGGAATCTAGTTTTACTCAAGTTGGATACTTTAAAAAAATGGATACTTTAAAAAAAATGTTTCCTAATTTTTTTTTTACTTGGCATTTCAAGTCTTTAAAACGATGCAAAGAAACGTCTCTTAGCATTTTGCACTGAATTTATTTTCTAAAAGCCAAACTTTTCTCAAGGTTAAACTAAATGTAAGGCAATCTGAATAATGTGTTTTGAGGAGGGAAATGGTGCATAATTAAAAGGATAAGGCTGGCGTTATTCTAGATCTATCCTTGTTGTACAAATATTTAATGCAAATACAAAAACTAACAACATGTCATTTCACCTCTAATATTTTCTGACTTCCTGCTCTCACTCCCAAACCCATTGGTTCCTCCTGAAGATACCAATCTCTAAAAAAGATATTAAGTAATTAGGAACAGTCGACTATTTTGAGCTGTGGATTAAACTGTATGTCATCTATGTTTTTTTGTTTATAATTTTTTTAAACTAATGCAGGAAATAGAGGGATCTGGCTTTGGTTCCTGCTGACTGTTAGGAGGTTATATTCATTGTTGGGTATAGGCAATGTTGCTAGCCATTTCCTTTAACACATTCATATTTTTAGAAAAAGTAAAACAATAGACAGTACATACAGAATAAACAATGCATTAGCATAGCAACAACTCCACTCTGGTCTTGGGTGTTGATGTGAGGCACGTGTAGCACTTCCCAGACAGCAGATTTGACATATGTTGCACGGATCATGTCTGTGATTTTCTTTTTGCTACAGGAAACACAGACGACCTGAACACACCCCTTCATCTGCCCTCTCTTCATCTGCTTCCTCTGATCTTCTTTATAGTCTGCTAATCCTCAGTCTGGTACATTTGATATCTAAATTCAACAGGTGGATGGGAGGCAGAACCTTTGACTCCCATGTGTTTGATCCACTCAAGTCAAATAGAAAAAACTGAAGAACCTGCTGCTGAATATTCACAGGATGTCTCAATCAGAGCTGTCTGACTTTAATCTGGAGGTAAAGTGGGTGGGTTTTGAGGCAGTTTGGGTGTGACTCATGTCTGGAGTCGGTGAAACTCCTGCTGGGTGGTCACTGCGACGAGAGAGTGAGAGAAAGTCGTGGAGAACAAAGGCAGTTATTTAACTTTCATCTCAGCTTGAGGTGATTATTCGCTTCGAGTTTGACCCAATCACACTTTCATTCTGGCCTTGTGCCCTTGGCGAACTGGGAACTTTGTCCTGTTTTGACACTTCATACGAAGAGTGTATAGGACAAGGATAACCTGCTGCCATGCCACCGTAGTCACGAGTAGAGCAAGAAGTTCATGGTTTGTGTCTGAAGACTGACTCAGATTACCCCAAATTTGATCCTTTGATATGGCTGCAGCGTGATCTCTTAGTCTGACATGAAGGTATGTTGTTACTGTGGAAAACAACATTCGCCTCATCGGTTGTCAGATCTACACACACACACTCACACACACACACACACACACACACACACACACACACACACACTCACACACACATACACACACATACACACACTCACACACACACAGACTTCTAACAGCCCACACATTTCTAATCACTCATCTTTACTCACTAATTCGATAACGAGCCTGAACAGTGAAAACATGTTTTAACGTTTGACATTTGGCCTCACAAAAAAAAAAGACATTGAGCCACGTTCAGTATCTTTGCAGTCTTGGGAGAAAGCACCCCCCCCNCATTGTGCTAGTTTAGCCTTGCCCCTTTTCTGAGAAACGTCAAAATATATTCAAAGTTTTTCCAAAGATCTTCTACGAACAGAAGGATTACTCCAATGTCATATATTTTGACGTTTCTCAGAAAAGGGGCAAGGCTAAACTAGCACAATGCAGGAGGAAATTATATCGAGTTAATGAATTCAAAAATAACTTAATAATAATGACAATGTTTGTATACAAATATATGGTTTGCATGTACAATGGGCAATGATAGGCTATACAGTGTATGATAACACCACCAACAAATCATGTAAAGGCTTCATTAGCAAAAAATGCATCTATTTTTACTTTTATTAAGCAATTGTTACCCTAGGAAATATCAATTGGTTTTGGTTTGCTCTTTTAAATGTGGATTATATTTCTTTAAACAAATATATATTATTTTTTGATTGGACATTTATAGAGAATGAAGCAAGATATCTCTCAACATGGGAATTATAAAATGTCTTTATAATCTTACTAAGTTGTAGTGTATATTCTATATATAAACATTTCACAAGTTTTCAAAAAGTTATGGATGGCAACAACAGTTTCTTCTAAAAACTTCCATATATCCATTGAGTGAGATGTCTCCTTCTTTTCTTCCTCTCTGACTTGTCAAAGCCTACTTGCATGTGTTTGGGCCAACTGCGCTGTCACTCAAACCCACGGCCGCTTTGTGATTGGCTGATTTGACCCGAGGCCCCGCCTCCATAGGTCGGCTCCAGCATTGAAATGACACCGTGGGAAAGCTGAGTGCTTCAAACAGAGGCTCTCCGGGCAAACGTGAACACTCGCACTACTGGAAGACAGAACAAGCATACACACTGTAGGACTATTGTGGACCGACAAAATGAAGAGGAATCACGATTTTAGTTCCTCGGACAGCGAGCTGGACGAGACTATTGAGGTGGAGAAGGAGAGTGGCGATGAGAATGGGTAAGTTTGCTTATTTTTTAATGTGGTTCAGACCATTGGACAGACGAAATGGTTAAACAAGATAACAAAAATAAGTAGCTTCAATATGTGTAGTATAATGATAAAAAAGGTAGACTTTACGAGGTATTGACTGTTTCGTCTCTTTTTAGGAACATGAGCTCTCCCCTCGGGTCCATGTCGCCCTCAACTTCTACTCAGGTGCAGGCGAGGAAAAGGCGTCGAGGAGTAAGTACATGTATTTGTTGAAAAATGCAGTTTTTGCAGTTTAAAATATTGAGCATGTTGTCCAAATGCACGTATTGTGCAAAAAACTTATAATTTGTATGTTTTGTCTCTCCTCAGATAATTGAGAAACGGCGCCGTGACAGGATCAACAACAGCCTCAGCGAGTTGCGCAGGCTCGTGCCCAGCGCCTTCGAGAAACAGGTAAGCATCAGGCAACACGACTTTACTTATTTTTTAGACCATACGCAAATAAACTTTATATTCCAAAAATATTGAACATAATTTATGCTCGCGTGACATTATTAATATTATTTATATGATATCTAATTTGGCTCCTTTTTTCTCTCCTTTGAAGGGCTCAGCCAAATTGGAGAAAGCAGAGATTCTGCAGATGACTGTTGACCATCTGAAAATGCTTCATGCTGCTGGAGGCAAAGGTATGTCTGGGATCCATTATTTTTACAGAAAAACACCTTCCACTTATTGAAAATATTATTCATATACTTAAGAGGGGAAAATAGACAACAATTACTTTATTCTCTTACTTAAAGAGAAGGAAAAAAGCACAACATGACATGTAGATGAAAACTGATAACAACTGGTCCATCTTGTTTGGACTTATTATTTACTCTTTCACACTCTCAAAGCCAGAGGCATATTGATTCACGACTGACAAAGATCCCAAAGTTCAGGACAAACTTGTTTTGTAGCAGCTTAGGCGACTCTAAACTAATCTGCTGTGTTCTTCCTCTGCCCTCAGGTTATTTTGACGCTCATGCGCTGGCGATGGACTACCGTGGTCTGGGTTTCAGGGAGTGCCTGGCTGAGACGGCCCGCTATCTGAGCATCATCGAGGGCTTGGACGGGGCGGACCCTCTGCGTATCCGCCTGGTCTCCCACCTCAACAACTACGCCAGTCAGAGAGAGGCTCACTCCGGCCTGAGTCACCTGGCCTGGGGCTCTGCGTTCGGGTCCCCTCCTGCCCACCTCACGCACCCCCTCCTCCTCCAGCACCAGCAGGGGGCCACATTGGCACCTTTACCCCGCAGCGCCACCAGCAGCCCACAAACTCCTCTATCATCTACATCTTCCTCCTCCTCTTCTTCATCCTCGTCCAGTGCAGACTCTCACATCCCAGGCAGACGCAGCGGCACCCCTCACTCAGATCAGGGCCAGATCCGGGTCCCCCCCACCACTGGGGCTCCCAGCACCCTCACACACCCTGCCTTGGTCTCCTCATCAGCGTCCAAGCTCTCCAATCCTCTCCTCTCCACCCTCTCAGCGTTCCCCTTCCCCTTCAGCGCCTTCCCCATCATGTCCCCCTCCTCCGCCCTCAGCGTCCCCATCCCAACATCCAGCGTGGGGAAACCCTACAGACCCTGGGGCATGGAGATAGGCGCGTTCTGACTGAGATGAAAAAGCTCCACTCAATCTACACACAGACTCTACTCACTACCCAGCTGAGCTGGACGTTCAAAGACAATACTTTATATTTTCCAAATTTAAGAAAGTAATATTTTTTTTCTATGATGTTGACATCCTGCAGAGGATACTCCTAGCTGTAGGATTTTCTTGCTAATGTATTGAGTTTTGTATAGAAGAGAAAAACAGTGAGGAGTGAGACCATGACTTAAAAGCATTCAGAGTGATTTATTGTGATTGATCTCTGTTCCCCCACACCCCTTCAGAGGTTTCACCCACTGTTGTCAGCCTATCAGGAATGGCTTTTCCAGATGGTCAAGCAGTCGCCACCCGTCAAGTTCCAGGGTGAAACTGCCCCCCCCCCCTTTGTTTTCCCCCTGTGCTGAAAAACCCTGTGTTGGTGCCCTGGTTACATGCGGGGAGGGGAGTGGAGGGAGGGCTTGAGGTGGTTGAGAGTCACCGCCTTTCTACAGCTTTTTAATGGAGTGGAATAACCGAAACCAGGTGTTTGTTTTACTAAATACTGGAACAGAAGTTAGTTACCAGCTTGGTTCAAATAAACAAGATTTTCCCACAACTCCCTGTTCATATGGGGCCTTATTGATTAAGCTTTCCTCCCTAAGTAATGTTTCCTCTACAGTAAATCCTGTTCTTAACAACTGAGACTTCACATATGTTCCACGAGTTTCTACCAGCTGTTCTGTTTTTGTAATTTCTCATGATGCTTGGGTGATTTTTATTACCTTGTCTTCAAGTTGTTTTCCTGTTCAAAGTAGCAGCATTATCGACCTGTGTTTTCAACGGAGCTCATTTGTATCTGTCACAGTAGTTGCAAGGCAATAGACTTACACCTGATGTTTTGGTTTCTCCTGTCACTGAGTTTGTTCATTTTATGGTTGCACTGACAAATCAAATATTAGTTGTTGCTGGTGGTAATGACAACTTCCCTGTAATAAAAAAAGTTATGTTAAATCACCTCTGGCTTTATCAGCGTCCTTTTTATGTGTTTGTTCATTTTCATGTCTGTTTGTTCAAGAGTGTGTGTGTGTGTGTGAATGTAGGTGTGTGCACGTGTTTATTAATGCCTGCAGTTGTGTGTGTGTGTGCCGTATACGACGTGGTGACGCCTGGTATCAGATGCGGCTGCTTGTTTCTCTCAGTAGCCCTCCGTGTGTGCACAGGAAACCATTAACAAGGAGGGGATATCCTGGACAATAGCAGCCCGGCTGGCCCCATGTGCTGCGTGGGAACTAGAGGAGGAGGAAAGAAGGAGGGAGGGAAGGTTGGAAGAGAATGAAGAAGGAAAGGAAGGAGGGATGGAGAATGGAGTGGGATCAGGAGGGAAAGGGGGAAGAAAAAATGGGACAGAGGGATCAAAGAAGGGAGAGGACTGAAAAAAAGTGTGAGAAAGGAAGTGTGCAGACAGTTTTGTCCCTTCGCCATCATTTAAGCCAGCACCAGCTGCACCTTCTGTTCTCGGCTCCTTCATGCCGTCACTTCAAAAGTGTACTCACTCGCCAAAATATCCTTCGCTTTTTTCATCTATTCTTCCAAAGTGTACACTCTCTCTTTCCCCTTTCATCCCTCTCGTCATTCTACTTAACCTTTTTATTTAATTACTGAGGATGATGCAGAGCCAGGCGGTGATGTAAGCTTCACTGCAGCCAAAATTACAAGGTCAAGGAGATTTTAGTTTGAGATATCTTGCTGTTTGTCTCCCCCTGCTGGTCATTACTGGGACTTTAACTGAAAAGGCAAACGACACTTTAGGAAGATTAACTGCCAGTCTTTACTAAGTAGCAATAACACAAAGTAAGAATATGTTACAGTAAAAAGCCTGGCATTAACCTCAATAAACGTTTTTAAAGTACTGAAAGTAAAAATATTAATTATTCAGAACGATGCCTTTAAACTAGAGCTGAAAAGATGAATGGATTAGTTGTAAAGTAATACATTGATCTGCAGCAACTATTGTTGTATCATCGATTATTTGCTTTGAGTTATTTTAAAACTGATATTCGAATGAATATCTTGGAGTTTGGACCAAACAAGACATTTGAAGACATCCTTGACTTTGGAAAAATATGATTAGAATATTGACAATATTTTCACCAAACAACTAAGCAATTAATGAAGAACAATTCCTGACAAACTTAACATTTAAAATAATCAGAAGTTGCTGCCCTACTTAAACAGTAGGCTGTTTCATATGATTATGTGTGTTTAATCACCATTCAGGCATTGACTTTATTAACACACATTTGCCTCTGTAAAATGACCAATAACTACACCGGAAAACATCATGTAGTAAATTAGAGGAATTAACTACTAACTTAATGTTAATATGCTTGAGTTCATTCCACTTCTAGTTTTAATTAGTCAGAATTTATGAATTTAACTGAATATGTAGCAGTCTTTTTTTATATTTGTATTGACATTTTCTTTTACTCTTTATTTGTGTTTCTTGATACTTGCTTCTATTTCTTTTTTATATTTTCTCTTGCTATTTTCTTTTTATGCTTATAATGTAATGAAAACCAAGGCACAATCCTTTTAGGGTTAAACCAATACATTATAATTATGATCAAGAAACCAAATGACTCTATCTGAATGCTAACCTTGAAACAGTAATTGACAGTATCTGAAAGAAGTCACACCCAAAGCCAGTTTCATTCACTGAACCCCAAATCTTTATTAACCACTGCTTGCTCACAAAGATATACGTGGAAAGGGGGGAAACACACAAATGGACAGAGGAGAGAAAGAGAGAGAGAGAGGCAGGTAGGATAGTCTCTGTCTGTGATGTTGTTGTTGTTACACACTGTTACGGTGTTGGTTTATACTTCACCGGGTCATTATCACATGGCACAAACAATCTGTTATCCACCCGCCCTTTCTGCACTACACACACACTCACACACATCTATGGGCCTACCGTGCGTGTGTGACCGTCATTCCAATACTTAGTAATACACTCATGTACACCTTTACAGATGGCAATACTGTGTTCATTTATCATAGTTGCAGCTATACCTGTCATGGCTTTTATATCTTTCTTGTGCCGACCTTTCGGTGGCGTTTACAGTGTCTTGGAGTGATATGCAATGATTCCAGTAGGCGTGGATGATGTTGGCACTACTCTAGTCTCTATGAAAGGGAGAAAGGTGGAATTTATTTGTAATTTCTCCGATTTAAGATTCACAGTCTGGTGAAGGTTTTTTTTGCACTCCGGCTGTCTTTGAGTGCACTTTATCCTCAGTTGTGTTGTATAGTACAGTAACAAGTGATTGAAATGTGAATGCAAGCTTTTTTTCTGAGGAATAGAAGAGGCCCGCCATTGGTCAGGGATGTTACGTGAGCTTTCCGGCGCCAGATGGACAGAATTTAGCAAGCTCCTCTTGAGCTCTGTGCTATGATTGGCTAAATGCCTGCCCATGTGGAGAGCGTGTGAGTGAGTGCTTCTACAGTATGTACTGTATGTGGAGAGATGAAGAGGTTGCAGACGGAGGGAAGGAGGATGAGGATGGGCTCATTAAATGCTATAGTGTTCTCCTGTGGTACTTTACCATCTACCTCACAGGAGTGGATGAGCAGCGACGGCTTGCAGTCCCCATAGAGAGCAAACTTTTCTCCTTTCCTTCTGCCTACTTTCCCTGCACATGTCCCCTCACTAATTGGGACATTGGCTTAAACTTGATGGAAAATCACTCGGACCAAACAGATCCAATTTTGTTTTCAAATCTGCAGGGTCAAATGAGTAAGTGCCCATTTAGAGGGAGGAGGAAACGGAGCCAGTATGCAGGCCTTGTGAGGACGCAACCAGTCGCAGCAAACATCAGCTAGCTGGCAAACTCACAACAAACACCTACGTCTGAAATGATTTTCAGGCTGAAATGATTTTCAGGCTGAAATGAAGAAAAAACAACAACATGTCAATGAACAAATTATTACATCCATATATAAGCAGGGAGAGAAACTTATATAGAAAAAATGGCACACTGCAATCAATACTTTTGCTGCTTGTATCTTACTGTATATAACAAAAAAAGAAGTATTTACAAAAACCAATACCCACTGTCATTTGTCAATTAGATTTTTTTTTTTCTCATTTGAAAATGGAGCAAAAACATTCTTTTTGGGAAGAGTGGGTTGGAGACACACATTTTTCTTGTTTTTCCGAAATTCTTTACGCTTTTTTTGTTTTTTACCCCGAACCCCATTTCAACTTCCCACTGTCTCGGGTTGGCGTCTCAGGCGGTGGTAGTTTCATAATTTGTATGGGGGGGTATGGCAGAGGGGTGGAGTAGGTGGGAATATGTGGGACAAGGTTGGGAGAGGGGTGTTCCTCAGGATTGGGGGTGGTGGTGTTGGGGGCGGGTTTGGAGGTGGGACGTCGAACCTGGGGCTTTTCACGCTGTCACTTCTTCTCTCAACTCCTTGTTCCTGCGCACCTCCTGAGCATGTCTCTCCTAGAAAGAAAAACACAGATTGAAGGTGTCATGTTTGTCTCTGCCTCAGGGCCTTTCCTGACATTTTATTCCTGCACACTTCACCATTTCATTTCTTCAACCTTTAAGACATTTTATTCCTTTATTCTGCCTCCTGTCCTGCTTTCTCCCGCTCATTTACTGTATGTTTTTATCTCCTACCTTCCAAGCATAGGACTCAATCATTGTCCAACCTAAGTCTTCCCTAAAATATTCTCAATTTACTGAGGTCGTCTTGTTTCCAACCGCACGTCTTTCTTTTAATTCTCCTGTCAAGTTTGATAAATGTTCCTCCACCAGATGCTTCTTGCCTAGTTTACCCATTTGAATCCCGTTGTAACTGTCAACTATCTTTGTGCTAAAGTATAGCTTGTGATGCCACAGTGACTTTCTGATGACTGCTTTTGATTAAACCTTTTTTTTGTTTTAAACTTGCAAGATCATTGTTGCTAGTCAAATATGATTTGAAATCAGAACGAAGGAACTTATTATTAGCTTATGTTTTCTATTAATACAAGTCACTGAAAAAAATTATATCATTGGACATTTAAATGAAGTCCTAAATTCTTTCTTTATTGGTGTCTGGCCAGTTGCTTCTCTGGGGAAGAGGTAACTTGGTTTTATGGCCTCAGTATCTTTAAAATAGTAGCTGGTTAATGCTTCTCACCTTCTCCTGCAGGCGATCCATTATGGCAGCCATGTAAGCCTGCCGGTTCTCCTCGATTTGCTCCATCTTCACCTGGAGCTTCTCTTCGGCCATGCGGCTGAAGTTGCTGTTCTCCTCCATGGCCTTCATCAGCACGTCGCGCTCGTGTTCACGCTTCTCAGCCAAGGCCTGCAGGACCTGCGCCTCCTGGGACTGAAAGGAAAAATAAGCGAAGAGCAGCAAAATAAATTAGTCAGAGAGTTGATAGAAACAGTGATTTACTGAAAACCACTCGTCGATTTTTTGTTAAAAGGTAAGCATGAGTCAGAGCTGCTGAAACTAATCAGACTCACACATTTATGCTAGGCATGAAAATGTCTAGAGGTAAGATAATGTATTCCTTTTTTCCTGTCATCACTTTAAATAAAAATAATATGCTGTTTGACCCACAGTATTGAACATCTGGTCTACATTTTTTTAAATTGTGTCATTGATTGGATGATTGATCTGTTTGTGGGTTGGTGGATTTGTCAGCTGCTTGTATTGACCGTATTCACATTCAAATCAATCAGATGCAGGAATTAGCCAGTGTCAGATTAGAGTTTTCATGTCAGTTTTGCAGCCGCAGTAGTCAATGTGACGCATTATTGACCAAACATCCATGCTGTACGTGACATTTGAAGACGAAGGAAGTCAAGTATTTCTTAATGACTAGCGGTGGTATTGTGGTTAAAAATCTTCCTTTTAATCTTCTTACAGCTTTCTGTGGCTTTTATTAAAGCAGAGTGAAAGGTGGCAGCTGGGTGCAAAAGATAATAATTGGAAACACTCTTACTTTCCTCC